GTATGAGCCGACGTTAGTGATATTAAGAGATGAATATTGCCTTCTGCTCTTTGGTCTCAACTATCATCTCATAGTTGCATAAGCCGTGACCAATCAACCCCCTCGCCGCTGACTTGAAAAATTGAATCCAATCTGAAGTAGGCATCAATATCACGGTGAGCATCGCCGATCATAGTTCAAGACCAAGATGAATCCGCGGTGGTGGCAGCGGCGGTAGCAACCGAGGGTTCACATCTTACACCTGGACGGGGAATCGATATTTCACGGTTAACGAGGGTTCATTTGACCGTCGCTGCTTATTATAATGAATGAGCCCGTATGTCTGACCGAGAGTCGCGATGGTAAAGGGGGATCGGCGGCGGGTGGGGAAGGGGTCGTCAGAGTTAGAGCAGAAATGGTCCTAAGAGGGGCACGGGGGTGGATAAACGGCGAGCGGAGGGAAGGAGGAGACAGGCGTTTACGTGCGGCAGACATTCGATGATGCATAGTTGCTGTTGACATGCTGGAACGTCAGGCTCACATGACCTCTCGAGCGCAGCCATTATCCGCAAAGCGACCCCCCGGTCCAATCCTCCCTCCCTCCGTCTCTCTTCTCCGTCACCCGCGCCGCTCGTCCCTCCTGTCCGTCGAACTGGGACAATAACCGCTTCGCGAAGTCGTGTAATAATTATTGGCCAGTTTTCGCGGGTTCTAACCCTCGTTACAGCGAGCCCGCGTTTTGCCCCTCGTTAATTGCGCAATAATGCCACTGCCGGCGCACCTCTTCGCCCTTGTCCAGCAGCCCCCGTCGCCGCCACCGCTTCCCCCCTTGCCACCCACGTGAAAGGCCCGTCGACATGGGACATCGAGGGGGTCGAGTTCGTATAAATGCAGTTTTGCAACGCGCTGTACTTCCGCGGCTTGTCTCACTGACGTTTATTCAGCCGTGGCGGACTTTATTTACGTACGTTTCACGTTTGGATGGATAATGTTGCGTTGGACGCGCGTGGTTGATTGGAACACTCGGTTCCAGGACCGATGGTACCTGGATGAATACTGGAGAGAGAGAGAGAGAGAGAGAGAGAGAGAGAGAGAAAGAGAGAGAGATTTGTTGTTTTAATGTATATATTAGATTGCTATTTTAATTCATGTACTCGGTTGCTGTTTTCGCGTATTAGTTTGTTGTAAAGAAATGTTGTTTTTCGTGATAATCTTGATTTGAAGGAAATTCATTGAATTTAACTGAAAGTATCTGTAACTTATTGGACTCCTGATACTTTTTCTCATAGTATACTCGATAAAATTTAAATAACTTTGCAGGTGAAAACGTTCATTTGAAAATCAAAAAACTGATCTCAGAAAAAAGCCTAAATATGGGATACCACCTATTTTTTATCCCCTTCTACGATTAACCGTTTGTGTTTAAACGATTCACGGAAGTTATGTGTTTTGCTAGTTTAAGAATAACGAGACAGAAGACAAAATTAACAACGGTCATATAGATAGCACAAATAGAAGATAATAAAAAATGAAGACATAGCGAATGAATAGAGAAAAGGTATTCATTTTATGCGAAAACAGAGAAACTACAAATCCACAATATATACCAAAAAACGGAATCTCCGAAACCACGACAGTCCTCGGAGCCGTTTCACGCTCGTGTCTTTTGCATTTTGCATTCCGCCGCGTTAAATCGCCAAATAGCATCTCGGGATTATCACGGTGGAAAGCTTATTTCGCTCAAGCGGACGGGCGGCAGTACACCATGAATGGCTGATAAAAATCACAAGATGAATGACAGAGGAGCGTGTGTGTACGTTAGAAGGTGCGACGTGAGGGCAACGCGATACAGATTACGTATGCAGCGGCGTAACGCGACACGCGCGTGCTTCGCGTCGCCAGCGTATCCGCGAATATGCACTGACCGCGCAACTTTCACGGATGTGAACACAGCCGAATTATACCGTATTGTATGCGAACTAGGAGCGAGGAGTGGTGAGGAAAGGGAACAGGGGATGAGAAAGGGAGATCGCGCGGACTCAGTGCAGATCGCGTTAATACGTAGCGGGCGAGCACGCTAATTGTTTTATAGCGCAGGAGGGAGTAACATACTCGCGATAGCCGACCCGCACTTGGCGCAATACTGCAATCAGTGTGTCACTATATGCCGTAAATCGTGCCGTGAATGGAATTGTCGCGATATAACCGCGCGGTTAGACGTCAATCGTTGACGATCGACGATCGACAATGCACGCGTGATACCGTTTTACAGCGTCGCGACGATATTACATCCAATCTCCGACAACACCTTAGTAATTTGTTGCGTGAACGTCTGTTTTGCAATTGAAAAATCAAAATTCCCGATATTTCGATATTCTAATTACCCAGATGGACCTTCATGATTGTTACGACGTGAGACAATCAATAATGGAAATTTTACAAATTTTTGGAATTGCATCTATAAAGCAAATATACTCTATTGACCTAAACATTAGATTTATATTATACAATGACTATGAATATTTACTGATTCCTAATGAAAACACTCCCACTTTACTGTTGCATCTTATTGATTTTGATCCGGTAAAGCAAGATTTTACTACAAAATCTGTAGTACACAAATTCATTATATACTGTACCAAATTCAACTTATGTTTACGACGATGCATTGAAGAAAAATGTTTGATATCTGTAACTATAATTTCATAGAGACATAATTATTATAAATTGATTTAGAAAACCACGCATTTGTTAAATTCTATTATAATGTTAGTCATAATAATCTTGTATGCATGTTACTACTTTTTCCATATTAGATCAACTATTTTTCCTTTAGTATGGAATTAACAACTTTAATATATTTCACAAGAGATGACACTGTCTATATTTGCAAAATATATTAATAGCTACTATTTGATTCTTTCAAATATATTTTACTATGTATATCTGAGTCTGGGTCTGGGATTATGAATATGAGATTAAATATGTAGAATTATTTATATAAATAATAAAATGTTTAAATGAAACATATAAAAAGTTGAAAAAACACTTATATAAATAATTTCTGGGTTTGGTCAAGATTCGAACTATTTTTAACTAATTTAATAAAATTTAACTAAAATTTAATTAAATAAATTTAATAAAATTTAAATTTTAACAAATTTACAATATTTCGGTTGAAATCTCAGCTAAAGAAATTTAGAATGATTTATGTCTCAATTATGCCGATTTTAAATTTTAAAATTTTAAATAAAATTGTCAGATTTCTCAGTTTGGCCGAGATTCGAACTATTTTTAACTAATTTAGCACAGATTTAAAATATTTTGTTTAGATCTTGGCTACAGAAATTTACAGTTCGTGTCTCAGCTATGCCAATTTTGTTAATATTTTAATTAAAATTGCCAAATTTCAATTTGGTCGAGATTCGAACTATTTTTGACTAATTTAGCACAGATTTAAAATCGCGTGTGTGATTACAGTGCTATATTTGTAATTTCACTATCAATCATAAATATAACATTCCGATGAAGAATAGACTGATTATACTTTCGAAAGTATATGACCATTCGTATACAGGAACTTAAACATAACTTTAACTCCACGATCTCAACGATCTCAACAGTCTCGATGCGCCAAAGGTGCTGGACTCGCAATCTTCAATATTTGAGTTCACTCAGCCACTAGAATACACAGCTAAGTCGATTTAACGCCGCTGACATGTGACTCAACTAATTCACATGTCCCGGATACCTAGCTGTGATATTAATCGAGATCCCGACGAGGTTCCCGCAATTTTCTGGAGCGCGGAGAAAGCAGTAGCGTGCGATACGTGCCTCTTACGCACACTCCGCTCCAGATGCTTCGCACAAATCGCGCGATCCGTGCGTTTTCCAATCAACGATCAACCACCGCTGACGATCTAATTAAAGCTCGCGCCGAATTCCGCGCGTTCCACGTGTAATCGGTTTAAGCGTTTGCGCGCCGCACCGCTTAATTCTAAGCGGTCTCTCCCGCTACGCGCCGCGGACGTAACTTGAATATATAAATTCCCGCCTGTGCTCGCGCGCTTTATTTATACGCGTCGTGAATGTGCATTCGTCTCAAGAGGAGGTAATGAACCGACCCATGAGCACACGAACTGGTTCAACAACTAATTAAAACGCCATCGCGAAATTCGTCGTTCGTATTGTCGAATTATTTCAGTAACGCATTACAGTTTAATTGAAGGTTGTAATACTTTTCCTCGATGAATTTCATAGCCTTTATACAACAGAAGTTGTTTCTTTAGTAATTTTCAAACGATACATTTTCCTATACTGAGAAGAAACCTTTGGTATTTGCAACTATAATAACGTAATGAAAGGTTTATAGACAAGAGAAACATTTTTAGTAAGTATTATTACAGTGTTAATAATAATAACTTTATACACATGTTGCTACTATTACTTTTCTGCTAAATCAATAAAAATATTATCAGCATAAAAAATAATTAATTTTAGTAATATCAATGATTTTTCTTGTTAGTGTACGGAGGAGAAAATTTTATAATAAAAATTACTATAGAATTTTATAACCAAGAAATAGATCGATATTCTGCGATAATTGATTATCCTTTCTTTTTTGTATACGCTATTTATATTTTAAGAACTGAAGTGTATGTATTATCATAAACGCTATAATCGATGAGCTTTTAAATATCTCTGCATAAAAGTAATGATAACGAAACTAATTTTTGTTAGCGTTATGTTTCCTCGTTATGTTTCAACTTTAGATATATAAATATCAGTCCTTCTGTCTCTCACCCACTTATCTCTCTACACCCTCCCTTACTCCCTCCATCATCTCCCTTCCTCTCTCTCTTCGCCTCTATCTCTTTATATCTTTCCCCGTCTCTTTCCGTCGTTCTTTATCTCTCTCTCTTTCTCTCTCTCCTCCTCCTCCTCTCTATTAAGATCAACAATATCGTCACTACCTGTCGCAAATCTAATCTAATCATCTGTTAGATGATTGAAAAAATAATGTACGCGATAACTACCAAACAGCTTGGTTAGTTGCTTGTGTGTTGATGTATGGATTATATGGATGTTGCATTATAAATAAAATAAGTGTAAATAAAAGTTGTGCTATGGGAAATTGGGGTTCTAACGTTTCTCCCGTTCTTTCGGCAGAAGCCGTTGACGAGTACATAGAGCTGTCATATTTAAATAAAAATGAAATTATACGGTGAGTGTAAAAGCTTAAAACATGACATATAACTATTAATTTGTTGTAACTAATTGTCCGTTTACAGTTTACATGCATCTTTCAGAAATACGATTCATATATCGTATAATTGACTCGTTTAAGTATTCAGTTGGTGCAAAAAATTGTTATTAAATTCTCGTACAAAATTTAAATATCAAAGGAGAAATAGGAATTTCTCGTTAGATGTCAGAAAAAGTATCGAATCAATATTGTTTTTTCGTAAAAATTCTTAATTCTTCAAAATTCTTTGAATAATTTCGTTTCCTATTTTATTTGACAAATTTTTCACACTTACTTAATAATAATGCGTTTTTCAGAATTTATGAACTCCTTGACAATTTGGAATCAGGATGTCTTAAGCAAAATCTTCATCATCGCTTTCCTGTAGAGCAAATCGACAAAGTTTTACCGCAGATTCGCGTGAGTCTTGAATTTCATCGTGCTTGATATTTTCTAACATTAAACATTTTCTATTTTTCTCAACATTATTTTGTCTAAAGTCATACAATATAATAGGCGAACTATATCGTTCGAAAGAATGTCGAGACTTTCGATAGCAAAGAGCGTTTCACTGTTTTGGATTATTGTAGTATACAACTTCTGTTAGTTCTAAATATCGCATATATTGCACGGCAATAAATTCTTCTTAAGCGATAGTAAAGCTGCTAGCATTTTTTCCTGTGAACTAGCAATTTTTTTTATACGAATGATGATTAAGTGCGACACAGTATAAATTATACTCTTCGAATATAATATAAAATATCTAGGAACCATCGATTACTCATAACGATCATAATCTATTCAATTAGAAGGGAAACACCTTTCGAAATGTTTTTAATTGGTTAGAAGTTAAGTTTTAAGAAGTCGAGATGAGCAGTTCAGCAAGTTAATGAGAAAATTTTTTAGTGTAATCCGTTCCGCGACGCAATATATCGGGTGTTCTCGTCGAAGCAGGACGGATGTTTGAGTTTCGAGGACACCCTCGACCTCTGCTCGGCCTTCTCCGCGAATTGTCCTCGGGGCGTCCGGGCTACATGGGCTTTTGAGATTTTCGGTAAGCTCGCGGACGGAATTGAATCTACATCCAACCTTTTGTGTATGTTCGTGTGTGTGTGTGTACGCGCGCGGAACTCTAACTTTTGTCCCGACAAATATTTGACGGGCGCGGTCCACTACTATCGTATGCGCTCATTAAACATGCCTGCGGATAATGCTTCAGTCGTCAAAAATACTAGCATGAAATTCTATTATTTAAGTTACAGGAAAAATTATCTCAATGCATAATATAGTATATTACTATACATATTGTAATAATATCATATAGAATTAAGAGATATATTAGTATTTACAATATATTTGTACAATTCGTGAAGCAATAGGAACTTTGCTAAATGCATGTCGCACATTCAACAAATTGTGATAAGTTTGCGTTCACAAATTTAAAGACTTGTGTATGTATATTTATGCTAAATTATATCATTACCTATACACCCGCGTGCACATATATAATTTATTCAAAACGTATTTAAAAGTATTAAAATATTTATTGTATTGTTTAATTTACATTGCTGATTAGTTTAAAGATATATTACTCGTGTATAGAGCGTATTGTTTTGTTACTTTTCTGCGAAAAGTGAAAATTAGAAATATGCTAATATTTCAAGTTTTATCAACCCTGAAATAAGTATATGTGTGAAAATTTCATTTAAACTAGTTCATTTAAATATATATTAAAAACTCGGATTTTAAAATAACTAATTTTTTATAACAATAACTATCATATTTTATGTTATATAGTTTCAGTGATCTATCATTCTTTGCAATAATATCGCTTTACCTCTCCCTTCATTAATTTAGAATTATCTTTTCAGAATTTATAACAATTCTGAAGAAACACATTTTATGACACAAATTTATTCGTTGCATGCGTAGACATATACAACGCGAATTATTTTAAGTAAATACATTTAAATATATTTTAAATAAATATAATTTTGAGTAAAAACATAGATAATAGCCACATTGATGTCTTCATTTTCAGATTTCGACGGCGACAATGAAATCTCTCTTAACGATTTGATCGAGATAGTGCGGAGACTAACAAGCACAGATGAGCGCGGACAGGACCGAATCGATCCACAACACGCGCAGAACATAGCGCGAATGGTCAGTGTGCATTCCTGCGTCCTCGACGCAACTACAAAGGATGGAATCGGGAAGCGATTAATCCTTTTGCCGAACCGAGGCCGTTTTTCTATCGCAACAAATTTCCGGTGGCCATTGTTGACCGTGACAAAAAGCAAATGGATTAAAAGGAACTGGTTGCTGCGAGGAGAAATTAATTCTGTGAAATCGTATTCCCAGTCAATCGAAGCCAAGAATAGCTCTTAAAATTGTCAGATTCTTTTCTACTCACTCTTTAAAGGTCGTTCTACATTAGATGCAAGCCGATCGCAAGCAGACGCAATTCTTATTGCGACAGCCAATCAGAAGCATCAATGGTGCTATTGACGCTTCTGATTGGCTGTCGCAACAAGAGTTGCAATCGACTTGCAACTAATGTAGAACGAACTTAAGGGAAAAAAGAAAACTGTTTTTACTATAGTTAGAATTAAAAAATTGTTGCGTTTTTAGTAAGCACATTCCTCGACAATAATACGACTTTCTTAATAAGGATTGTAAGACTAAACATTTCTATTTTCCAAGAAATTTCTGTCAATTTTTTCGACTCATGTATTCTTCATAGAATTACAAAAGGCACTAATAATTTATAATCACATTATCTTCATATAATCTTATATTTAATTTTATACTCATAATCTATAATCTTTGCTTTCAGATCCTGCGGGAAATGGATCTCTCTGGAACGGGTAGCATAGAACTGCAAGAATTTATACATATGATCGCTAAAATGCCAGATTTTGCACATACGTTTCAATTTAAAATTTTATAAGTTCAAAAAAGAAAAAAAGTAAAAAAATTGTATCGTTCAACATGTATGCAAAACTATTTTAAAAATTCAAATGAAAAATTTTAAGCTCATTTATATACGTTTATATACACATGCAGGGTCGTTTGATGAGTAACTTGGTTCGCACGACATAGAGGACGACAGCAACAACTGTACATGTAGTTATAAAGTTTCCTTTCTATAGATGTATATTCTATGGTCACCAGTCATTCTGACAGTAATTCGTTGTTTGACCGTTACTTAAACACAAGTGCTTCAAGTGACAGTTCAAAATGGATAAAATTGGAATTCGTGGGGTGATTCAATTCTTTTTTCTGGAAGGAAAAACAGCCAAGGAAATCTATGAAAGGATTTTGCCTACATTGGGTGACTTATGTCCTTGCTATGAAACTGTTCGACTTTGGGTAAACGATTTTAAGCGCGGCAGAATAAACATCGAAGATGCACCACGTTCTGGAGGTCCGAGAACAGTTGTCACGCCACAAATCATCGACAAAGTCCATGATATAATTTTGACCGACAGACGAGTGAAAGTGCGCGAGTTAATAGAGGCCACGGGTATTTCAGCTGAGCGAGTTTATTTTATTTTGCATAATGAAATACATATGAAAAAACTTTGTACAAGGTGGGTGCCTTGTCTGCTTACTCCAGAACAAAAGCGAATTCGTATGCGAACATCAACCGAGTGTTTGCAAGTGTTTAAGACGAATCCAACGGATTTCTTACGACGTTTTGTGACCATGGAGGAAGGTTGGATTCACCACTATATATCGGAAACAAGACAGAAATCTAAACAGTGGACAATACGAGGTGAACCGGCTCCGAAAAAGATAAAAAACGTATTCACTGAAAAGGTGATTGCGTCAATTTTTTGGGACGCGAAAGGAATTCTCCTGATTGACTACCTTGAGAAGGAAGAAAACATTACTAGACAATACTACCTAGCACTTTTGGAGAGATTGAAGGCAGCGATCGCGGAGAAACGCCCTGAAATGGCCAAAAAAATGATGCTGTACTATGACAACATACCGGCTCATTTAAACCATGTCACTGAACAAAAATTGACTGAACTAAGGTTTAAAATTCTTCCGCATCCACCCTGTTCGCCCGATCTAGCTCCCTCGGATTACCATTTGTTCCCGAAACTCAAAGCTTTTCTGGCTAGAAAAAAATTTGGGTCAAACGAAGAGGTGATACAGAGCGTAAACGAGTATTTTGAAGACCTTGAAGAAATCCACTTCCGCGAAGGAATCGCGGACCTGGAGAAACGCTGGGATAAGTGCATTGAACTTCGAGGGGACTATATCGAAAAATAAAGTACTCTTTATGAAATTGTCTTTAATATCAAATCAAGTTATTTATCAAACCATCGTATTTTATTAACTCGTTGGTTTATTAACACGGCATCTTCCTGAAATAATTGTGTCCAACCAATAATTCATTACACAATTTTACTTCTTTCTTACATAACCTAAAATAGCATTTTAAGAACGAAGAGCAATGTAAAGAATATATCTAGAAAAATTGATCTAGTTAAAAAAAAGACTTTTGGATTTATATACAGAACAAATTTAGTTTCTCTCGACGTTTTTTCGTAGTTTACAATAATATTGCTTTAAAATTAATGATTAAAGCTTTTAGATTTTTTAGATGTTGTGTTTAGACATCAGAAATGAGAAATAACACGTTAAAAATTCTTGCGTGCTAATTAAAAAACTTGTTTTTATGCTGATGAATCTTTTGTATATGTGTAGGTGCCTATGCACAACTAGTGCATTTATTATTGTTGTTATTTTTTATTGTATGCAGAAATTGAAATAAAATATCCTACTAGAATAAATTTATATAAAAATGATAAAAATAATTGCACATATGCATGTTTTATATATAAATTGAAAAAGTATTTATTATAAAATTGTAAAACAATTCATACAAAAGTATTGTTATTTAATATAAAATATTATTATACAACTGTTTATTTTATAAATATACATCGTAAGCGACCAGGCACACTGCATCCTTTTGAAATTTCTTACTTCCACATTTCCAGTAGGAAATATTTAACGAATTTTATTGAATATTATAAGAGAACACTAAATGCATCCTTTTGAAATTTGTTGTTTGGTCAGTTTGTCTTTTATTAACTTTATAAGTTTACTAAAACCTGTCATAACTATATTCTGCTTTAAATAAATTAAATGCTTTGTCCAAATGCTGCATTAGGATATGCTATACTATCTAGATAAAGTGCTGCACTTGTATAAAATTGACAGAAAAACTTAACCTAACCAAAATTGACAGAACCAAAATATTTTATTTCTAACTTTTACCAACTTTAAGTTGACTTAGGGAATTTATCGTATTTACCATGTCCTCCAAAGCCGTCGAAAGTCATGCCACTACCAATAGTTCTCTGTTAAACAGAAAAAAAATTAATATAAAAAATTATTTTATCTTTATTTAACATAATAGTTAATGCTACAATAGTAGTAGTAGTAACATATAATAGTGTAGTTTCAGTACTACTGTAGTATATAACTTAAAAAGCAATGAAAAGCAAGTAAATAAACAAATATTTCTAAAAATATATAAAATATATTTTTAGTCCAGCTTAAGATAACATAAATTACCTGCTTTAGTTGGTCCCTTTCAAACAAGTTCTTAGAGTTCTTAGAGTTCAGTTTTTTCGCAAGTATTGAAGGTACCGTTACACTATTACTAGTCCTTTTAATACCGCAATTCGCCATTGAGAAGAAGCCTCGTGATTTTATATTCTGTGGAGTATTTTCCATGTTATCCTGCAATAATAACTATTAATGCATCGAACAAACTGGAGATATAAATTGACGTTTAATGTTCTAAGCAACAAAGAATAACGAAAATTAATAAAATCATAAAATATAGCGATTACTAATGAAAAGAACGCTAATATTGCGGGAACTCGAACTTTCATCGGTCGCAGATGAAGAAGTATAACGCGCGCGTTAGTCTACTCAACTATCGTGCTTCACTCTGCTTAGTAAAGTTAAATTATAGTACTTCTAATATAGCTGTATTTATCGTATAGCTGAATATATGCCTAGTTTTAATTGCAAATTTCTCAAAAACAAAAACCCATGTACTCAAACTCTTTTATAGTTTTAGTACATTCAATACTCCTCTCCGAATAAACTCATTTTACACTTCGCGCCATTTTCTTGTTAGTCAGTATTCTTAATTTTCAATTTACTTACCGTAGCCGTAACGATACAGTCATTATCTTTTTCAGTCTCCAAAGTTTCACTGCTATTAGGATTTGATGTACATTCCGTTTCGATAGGTACTACTTTGGAGTTCTTATATTCATCCTGAGACTTTTTCTCCACTGCAGTTACTTTTTTACCATATTTATCACATTTACATGCTTCAGTCTGTATTTCAAGAAGCTCAGCTTGCAGAATTGCTTTTCTTTTGTTTTCCTCCTTTAGTGTTTCCTCCAATTTCCTAAAGGAAACAACAGTATGAATTGCAAAATATAATTTATATATAAAAACAATACATACATAATCAGATTAATTTAGAAGCTGAAATATATCTTATAATAAGCACAATCTCTGTTTTACAATCTAATTTAGTATTAATAGTAATTTCTTTATCAATAGTATTACATACCGCAGTTTACTTCGAATTATTAACACTTCTGCATCTGCTCTACTCTTCGCTGCTGCTTTCTCTCTTAATCGTCTTTTCTGGGCTATACTATTTTCAAGTTCTCTGAAATATATAATGATTCTAATTAATAAATATATTCCATAATATGTAGTATGTGAATATAAACTACCTTTTTAAGACTGATATAAATGTCTGTAATTTGGAAATATCTTGGTATGTAAACTGCTCTAACATTTGGTCCACTTCATGTGCAGAACAATTTAATATATTTTGAATACTGTAAAGAGATACAGGATTTATAAAATTATGGTGTTAAATATGAAGTGTAAATGTTCTAATTATTGAATCTTGTTCTAATGTAATTGAAATATTAATAATATATCTATATTTAGTACTTCTAAAAGAGAGAAGAAAATCTTTTTAAATTTTATTAAAATATTTTTTATATGCCAATTAGTAATATTATATATATATTTTTTTATTCTACCAAAATTCAATGGCTAAATATATATATATATATATATATATATATATATATATATATATATATATATAT